TCACAATACCTATGTGTTGTCTGGGTGCATAGTTATAAGACACCCAGGAGGCTTTCCTAATTAATTTCCTCCACTTTTGCAGGACAAGCCATGTATGTCCACCATCAGAGGAAGGCTGGGTGCAGTTTCTAACTGGTGCAGTAGATCACAACATGAATAAAATCAAGAACTTCACACAGGGTCAACTTTAGCTCTTCCATGTCTACATGTGTTGCTGCCACTCGCTCTGGCATATGCTTTTCCAGGGAATCTCACTGTTCTCCAGCTGCTGGGAGAGTGATGAGAACAATGTTTTAGGAGAGAACTTTGCTGCCACTTGGTAAAACTTTCTCAGGAAGCTACTCTTCGCTATTGCAGAAAGTGTCATTTTGCTTGGATTCTTAGGGTGGTGCAGTGCTGCATCTCAATGCTGTGAATGTGCCCCATTCTTCAGACATCACAACTGCTACTATGGGGTTCAAAGAACAATAAAATATTGCTAGACTTGCATGAGTGGCTTTATCTGTTTTCAGGTGGCAGAGCATATATACTGAAGGAAAGCTCTTGCTTCTTTTGCAGACAGCCCGATGAACCATTAAAAATATGCAGCACTGCTGCTATTTCCTGTCTAACCTTAGAGAAGAATGAACTATCTTTCTCTTTCCTATTTCCTCAGAAAGCAGTAGAAAATACTATTTACTACTTTACCAAGACCAAGGATCTGTAGGGGGATAAGAGTATGTCTCTAGAGAAATGCTACATCTACCATCGCTTTAAAGTTCTAGGATATCCTTTTTTGCCATGGTTAGGGAAGAGTGACTACGCAGTGGTGGTTTCAGCACAGATGCATGGTGAGAAATGCAGCATCTGCTTGAGCATTTAGCCCATCTTTGTCACAGTAAGGTTCAACTTATACAACTGGAGAGCAGGCATAGTGGCAGATGGGAGAGACTGGAGTTTGTACCAATAATCAAAGTCAGATACGGTTTTAAATATAACTTTAATTAAACTGTTAACATCTATGGTTGCCTAAGATCAGAGCACATATCATGACCACTCTTTTGTAAACAGGACAGCGGGACCTGTTCCAAGTTGGGCATCAGGCAGCTGCAATGTCAATAGTTTTGTAGCTCTTCAGGTTCTGGAGTTGAAGGCAGGTGAGACATGCAGTGAGTCTTCTGGTCCCTGCTTGGGTGGGGGTGACTGGGATTTGCAGCTTTTGAGTGCTTTTAGGTTGCACAGAGCCCAGCCTGAAAGGTGAAAAGGGATTATACAGGAAGCACACCTCTTTGTATTTCTAGTTCCCAGGGCGTAGGATATGCATTTTCTAGACAGGAGTGTGGTGCCAAAAAAAAAAGGAAAGGAAAAGAAAACCAGAAATAGAAGGCGGCTAGCAGTTATCTAAACTACCACAATGGAGCTGTGATCTGACAGTGGTTTGGGAGGGAGGTATGACAGGAGGGTTGAACTCCCCATGGAGGCATCTAAGGTTACTTTGTCCTAATGCAGCTTCTTGAGAGAAGTGGGGATTTTTTCATCTGAAGGAGAGCATGCCTTTTTGGATGACTCTTGGCTAAGTCAGGTTTGCCTGGTTCTTCAGTTGAGAAGGGGAAGACACTGTTAAAATTGTACCCAGGGACTGTCTTCATTGCTGACAGTGGGTAATGGGTGGAAAGGTACTGGAAAGAAACAATATAGTTTTACCCCACTTAAGGATGTTCAAGCGGCTAGCTAAAAAGCAATTGATTTCTCAACAGGAAATAATTTCTAAATTTCATAGCTCATTTCAATGACCTGTAACTAGTGTCTTATTTAAAGTGTATTTGTGCCTAAGGCTTGTGCTACTTCTCTTGTTACCCTTTGTGTTGCCAGAGGGCTTTCCTTCTGCTGTCTAGGCCTTTGGGGTTGAAGTTTTCACAAATGCCATATTGGCTTCAACTTATGTATTACACATCTGTTGAAAGTTCTGTTATGTGGCTTTTCTCCTTTTCAGTGTGAAAATCTTCTGTATTGTCTGTAAATAAAGGATGGCATGCCTGGGGCTTTCATGCTGTAGCGGTCTCTTCCTGCCTCATTGCCCGCTTATTTTTGGGGACAGCCTTTCCTGTGCAAGGGTTTCTCTAGTTTGTTATTGTGTATTGTTATCATCTCTTTTTCCATTTACTGTTCTTAGATCAATCAGTTTACACTTACCTGTACTTCCTTTGTCTGTAAATGAGCCCTCGCCCTGCAACCACTATCACACACTTCTCCAAGGGTTCAGCGAGAGGGTTCAGGAGGCTGATCGTTGCTGTGCTTGTCTGATACTGTACCATATTTTCTGGAAACTGTTGAAAGAAGGAAATGAGCTGAAACTGGGAGAAGGAAAAGGATTCTTTTATGATTAAAGGGAGATAAATGATTTTTTGGTGCCAGAGGTCTCAGCCTCAGCTGCCATTGCCAGAAGAGGCAAAGTCGAGCTTACTTTCTTCTCAACTACAGTCTTCTTGCTGTAGTTTCCTTCTGCAGCCTCTGATTTTGAGACTGGTGAGTGAGTTAGGAGTCATTGGGTTTTCCCTATGCTCACACATAGACAAGGTAGAAGTGGGAGTACTGTATACAACAGTGTGGCACAACTTGGCTTTCCCAAACTGATGTCTCAGTGCTTTGAAAGAAGACAGCATGAGGAGAGCCACTCAACCCAGCAGAATTTTTTTGCTGCTTATGACTATGAAAGCTGTTTTCTCACTACTGCGGTAGCAAAATTAATAGACCGATCTAACCTCAATAGTGAGAGGGGGATCATGAATGCTGATCTCTTCCTGTGCAAAGTATATGCAGGAGGAGTCCTCGTCTCTCAGCATGGCAGTCAGCCTAAGCAGATGATTCTCTCCCAGCTCTCTTCTGTACCGTGAGTAAGGCACAAAAACCTGCAGGTTGTTAGCTGGAATACAGAGCGGTGCGATACAGATGACAATGCAGATGATACATACAGTCTGGTCTTAGCCTGCATGGCACCTAGGAGTGTTTAGTGCCCAACGTTGTACTAAAAGCTGCGGCATGTAAAAGCTTAAGTGCTCCAACTGGATTTGCAGATTCAAAATCTCTTAAGGTAGTGTTGCCACAGTGTTTTACTTCGATTACATACATTCAGCCAATCTTTTGTAAACTTACGGCTAAGTGCATTTTTCCTGAAGTGAGGGTACTAGATAAACTTTTCTAACCATGCACCCAGTAGAGTCCTTACCTTCATTGCTTTTGAGGATAAGGTTAAACTCTTTCTTCCAAATCTGGGTAATGGGCACACCATTGTAATGTAGAGACTGGGCCCCAACTACCAGGTGAGTAGCCTTTTCTCCACCACTGTGGTTAAACACTACAATGGAAAGTGGAACGTCTTGTCCCAGTAACAGAGAACTCTTCGACTGGAGATCGATGAAAAGGTTAACTGGCTCGTCAAGGGCAGTAGGAATGGAGCTAAACTCTGTTTTGCTGCTGCGGCTGGTTGTCTCAAGTTCCGTTGTCTTTCTGTAGGCCTTGTCAAGTACTTCTTTTTGCTGCAGAGAACCTGTCACAAAAAAGGGAGAACATATTTTAGTATTCTTTCCTGTTTATTGGTGTGAAGCAGTAAATGCAGAAGTATGGCATTGAATTATCCTGGCAGTACTGTAGATAACTGTTTATAACAGCACTGTTGGAGCAGTTCAAGAATTTCAGCCGAAAGGACATTCATTGGATGTACCTGAAGGATTCTGCTTGGAAAGATTTGGCATAGTTTTTAAAGCACCTTGGTGCTAACATCTGTCAGAGTTAAAGGGGCAGTTGCCTCTCTAACTATGGTTGTAGCTAGGACACAGTACTACATTCTCTTGTGAGAGACTGCCACCAAGGAGACAACATGCCGTAGGGTAAGATGAGATAGTAGGGTTGGGTCAGGGAAACAGCACTGAGTAATAGGTTCTGAAGGGGGAGCTACTTCTTGAGGGAGGGATTTAGACAGTATCTGGGAGCACAACCATCCTTTTCAGAAAGCTGGAGTCTGAAATACATCTATATATATTACAGGGGCAATGGGGGCTGAATGCACAGAGTGCAGAGGTAACAGAAGTCAGGAAAGGTTTTCCAGACAGGGAAGTGCCTGGTGAAGAAAGGCCTGGCCTTCTAGAGAGCTGGTTAATGTAATTAAGCAGGACGAAAGTTGGGGTATGACGTGTGCTTTGATTCTGTGGACAGCAAGAGTAAGGTGTTCTTGTACCATTCAGGAACGGGCAGTAGTGAGAAGTGGGTGACCCTAATGCTCTGGTGTGGCTCTGCTCTCTAGTCCTTTACTCCTCAGTTGTAACACTGGCAGGGAATGTGCTCAGGCACTTGCCTACCCCATACCTTCAGGATACTTGTAGTTGTGAGTGATATCCTCGCAGCGTTCACTGCCCACACTCTTGGTGCTGATGTTGTTGCCAGTGTACTTTGTGCCACCAAAAGCTGGCTTGAGGGTGTCATCTGCTTTTTGTATCCAGACCTGGCACTTGGCATTGATGGCAGCAAAGAAGTAGCAGACATCATAATCAACTTCTGTGTCCCCTTCTTTGATGGCTTGAACAGGGGCTGGCCCACAGAAGGATGGACCTGAAGAGAAAATGTGGCCCAGTTAAGATTCAGATGCTTTACTAACTAGACCCATGCCTAGTTTAGACCTATACTGGAAGTAGTGAAGTATCTTGTTTAGGAAGACATTAGGGAGCAGTGCTGTGCTAGAACTCTTAGAGCTACACAAGCTGCACAAACCAAACGAATGATGATTTAGTGCTTAAAGTCAACAGGGTGAGTTCCTGTCCTTTTGCATCCTTCCACTGGAAGTTGGGGAAGGAAGGAATGTTGAACTGCTTTATTTGCTCCCCACTCCACTCCACACCCCCAATCCCCCAAGCCCATCTCTGATATCTTACCTTTGCTTTTTTCCTGGCAGGTGGCATCCAGTGCCTGCCACCCACTGTACTCTGGGAGCAAGTCTGCTCGAGCCATCCAGCATTCATTCCAAACATGGAAGGTCCTGCAAGAGACAACATCACATGCTTATACCAAGGGACTGAGCCTTGAGGTACAGTAAAGTTTTAGCCAAACCACAGTCAGTTAATGCTTCTTTGAAAGAGCTCAGTGCATACCGAGGAGAGCAGAGACCATGGCTTTTGACATAAGTGGAGTGTGTCCAGCTGGACTGGGCTATCATTCTTCCTTTGTGGGCCCTAGTAATAGGGCACTCTTCAGTTTGGGTTGTGGTGATTTCTCAAGAATAGGTCATGTAGATAGGATCTCAGCTGAACTGTCTCCTATCCACCTGCCTGCAGCTGTTTACCTCTTTTCCCCCCTCTATCGCTTCCTAGATCCAGGTATCGTCTCAAATTCTTGCTTGGGTCCTGCCATGTTTTCTTACCAGACACGGGCACTCTTGTCTTGTGTAAGCAGTATCCCATCTTCATCATAATACTCATCCACACTCAGGCTGCTGTTAGTGTTGTGAGCCCATGTAAAGCCTGTGACCACCCTGGTAGGAATTCCCAGGCACCTCAGAACTGTGCAGAAGAAAGAGCTGTGAATCAGTTGCGCATCCTGCCCTAAGGGTGCCTCTGCTGATAGATGTAGAGCCTTTTTTGGTGCTAGGCCTAGTAGGAATGGCACCAGGTGTGCTGTTTGGACTTTGCAAGAGGCAGTGCCCCCTCAGGAAATAAGCTATCGTAGGTGCGTTCAGTGAACGGTGTGTACTGATACTCTTTATCTCAGAGCTAGTGGTGCTGATTGTTGATGAGGAAACTCTGAGGATCTGATTAAAGGTTATGTTACTGGGATCTGTGTTAACCCAGGAATTCAGGCATATGCTAGAGGTTCTGCAGTCTGAATAAGGCTTTGCTCAACATAAAAGTCTTTGAACCACCACTTCACCTGAACACATGACTGCAGCTAACACCCAGCACTGCCTGTAGCGGACAGGCTTGCATTGTGATGCAGCCAACTGCCGGAGGAGGGGGCTGCTTCCCAGCCACTTGGAAGGGGATGTCCCATTATAATATTGCCTGGTCCCACATTCTGTCAGGTTTCCTCGAAACTCATCACAGTTCAGCTGTGGGGAAGGAGGAGAGAAAGATGAATTAAGGAATTGCATGTCTTTGGTAGGTACACCTCATCCTGTTTGATGAAGCTGCTCCCAAGGCAGATGAAAATAGAAGGATTTTTTGTGCTGAGCATGAAGGTTATGGCTGAGCAGAACAAGTGCAACAGTCTCCCCTGAGATTTGTTCAGTAAGCGTACTGTCACTGCTAAGAAACTCCTGCAGCACTGCTTGTCTGCTGCAGGAATATCAGGAAGGGCTGGAGGTGGGCAGGAGGTGTTGTTTGGAACAGCCCTGGGCAGGCTTCCTCTTTGGTCAGTGGGTTGCCATAAACTGGGATTGAGAAGATACTAGCCTTCACTCTGCATTTGGGTCTTCTCTGCTAGGGTCAGGGCTGCTGTCTGCTCTCCTTACCATGGCAGCAACTGTGCGGCAGATGTAAATAGGGTTCTTGCGCTGGGTGTGATCCTTGTCTCGTTGATGGCCTTCGCCTGCCTCCAGCAGTGTGAAGCAGATGTCAACAATATCACCCTCAAACTGAAACAAGAACGCAACATTTCAGGAAATTTGGCCTGAACATTTGTTCTCTGGAGTCCCTGCAAGGGTTTGTAACTGTGCAGATTATTTCTGCCTTTCTGCTGATAGTCTTACATAAAGTGGGCTGTGGAAGAGAGCTCCAGGCAGAGATTTGGAGGGGGAGCACAACATACTAAAGGCAGACCCACAGCTTTATTGAAGTAAGGTGAGAAATGCATTAGCATGAAACTGCGTCCGCTGATTGAGGGAAATTGATGCTTTTCTGGAGCACTCTCTAGGTTGGTACTTTTGTGATCTGGTGGCACTAAAGTGGAATAAAATCCCACTCTAATCACTGGCTGTGTCAGATGGCCTTGGGCAAATTGGAAGATCTACTTGTCCTCACTTTACCTGTAAAATAGAGACAGTGTTATTAAGCTCTGTTAAATGCTTTTATATCTGTTCATGAAAGGAAGGCACACAAAGCCCGGATATAGATCAATGCATTTCTTCATAGAGGACAGCCTGAGAAGGTAGCTAAAATTACATATACTGGGTTATGGGACTTCATACACAGGTCCCTGTTCTCCTGTGCAGTCTTAGACAAAGACAGTGCGTGCAGAGAGCAAGTTTTTCATCAAAGCCACAGTATGGAAATGGATAGCATTCTGTACACACAGGAGATATGCACCCTTCCTCTGCTGGTGGCTGTAAGAGACCAACAGACGTATTGGACCTCTTGCTTACCTGACCAAAGTCCCAGGGTTGTGCTAGGACTGCATTTTCAGATCCCCAGTAGATGACACCCTCTGAGTTTAAAATGTACTCCTGCCGCTGTGCCTCATTAGGCAAGAACACCTCATCATCTAGATTAGAGAAAAAAAGCATCAGGAAGAAAGCATTCCGGGTCACAGATGCACTTGCATCTCTCTTACATCAGCAGATTCTGCTGCACTCCAGGGACTTTGGCAGTCCCTGGCATTCTGCCCTGGAGAAATACCACAGATACAGACAGGAAAGAAGAATTTCATTGTCTTCTCTGTTTCTTTGTTCAAAAAGTTCCTCCAGACCAAGGCTATTGCACTAGCTAGCTCTTTTACTCTTCTGGCTGTTGACTTCTCTATTCCTGAGAAAGATACAGTGGCCTTAATCAGACCAGTTATAATCTTGACTCATCTTAAAATCTTTATTATCGGCAACACTTCATCAAACATTTTTCCCTTAGCAAGAGGAGAGGGCTCTGGCAGTGGAGTACTCCAGGAATGGAGCAGAAATGCTGAGGTAGGCAGCTTCGAGCTTTATTAGCCCCTACCTCCTTCCTAAGGTGCTGTGAGGAGCAGGGCAGGAGTGGCAGGGAGCGCTAGGCGAGTCAGTCTCAACCTCCAGGGAGGCAGAGTGCCAGAGCTCAAAAGCTGTTTTTGTGAAGTGATTGATCCCAGCCTGCCTTTCTGTTTCTGACCACATACCTCGGCACCAGGGATTAAAGAGAAGGGTGAAGTTGCCCAGGAGACAGTAAGACTTGGAGGCGTGTAAAAGCAGAGTGTACTGGCCAACAGGAGCATTGGCAGGCGTGTTCACAGAGATGGTCCAGAAGCATGGGTCCTGTTCTTCCAGTGCTGCGCTCCACTGCTTCTGGTCTCCCAGGCTGGAGATGGGAAATTCAGTCTGGGTTCCATCTGCTTTGGAAGGATGTGGTCCTGCAGCCAAAGAGATCTGGTTGTGTCTATTCCAGACAGGCATCCTCACCCCATGCAGATTGCAGGGACCTTGTCTATATCTGGAGCCATAGCTCTCCTTTTCTTGTGAGAGAGCCTTAACCCTTTAGCAGCTTACTGCCTAGTGAATCTTCCTAAGCTTAGTACTGCACTCAGGCCTCCATGTTAGAAAGTGAGATGTGTATTTTGTAGGTCCGTAGAGACCAGGGACAGCCAGAATGGTGCAGACCTGCTGCTCCTGGGATTCAGTGTCTTGGAACAAAAGTCACAGCCAAATGCTCAGATTATGGTAAAACAAGCTGGGGCTGAATATTGCTGCCCTTCTCAAGGGTCTCACTAGAAAACACTCTGTAACAGAAAAACACCTGTAACAGAAAAACACCTGTAACAGGCTAGCTAAGTTTGAACATTCCTAAACCAAAAGCCAGGAGAGAGGAGAGATCCCGTGAGTACTTTCAAATCATAGAGTAGTGAACCTGCAGTGGTGATTGTGCTGCGGTGTCTCTTATGGAAAGAGATCTAGTTTTGACCCTGCAGTCCCAGCAGGAGACTCTACTCTGCCTTAGATAAACAGTTCCCTGGCCTCACTTCTAAATGTGGGCACCTCTGACCAGCTCTGAAGATGGCTTTTGCCACCAGCTCTGTTCCTCAGGTGGGTGGAGGAGCAGAGCTCTGATAGGTATGGTAATGATGTTACCTGTCTGAACTATGAGGAAGGTCCTCCTCAGCTGCTGCAGGTAGCTGTGTATGGGAGTCGACAAGCTCACAGTGATCGTGAATGGCTGCCCCCGCCTCACAATAAGCCTTTCAGTGCTGATTTCTTCCGTGTGGTGGTTATTGTTGTTCATTGTGATCTTGAAGTCACATTTTTTGATGCTCAGACCTGTAGTGTGAGAAGATAAAGAATCAGTTTGGGGCTGTGAGCTGCCCACAGTCTGGCCCTGGGCCACATCCTGAGACACACAAACAGCTGATCATGTGTTTCTCCACTCAGACAGTGCCCCCCTGCCTTTGAGACCTTCTGCCCAGTAACTGTAAGGGCCTTCACTCTGAGGTTGGTTGTTCTTGTGTCAAGTGGCTAATGAACTGCCTTTGCTTATACCTTAGCATCATTAAGTGAACTGAGTGATTATGCAAAAGCTCCTTCCTGCCCAGGAAAGGACATGGAACAGACCTGAGCATTCAGATGATACAGATGTTGTGGTTAGCACTGAGCCTGCACTGTGACTACATTTGGAGTCTTACTCCGTGTACTCAAGGGCACTGGTGGCACTCAAAGCAGCATCTCTCTGTGTGGATACACGGTTGAAATTGTGCACAGGAGACAAGCTATTACATCCCGCTTGCAATGTGGGTGCAAGCTCTTCCAGCAGTTACTGCACGATGTATGTCTGATAGGCACCAAAGACCAGCAACTGGTGCAAACTTCACTGCTGGTTCAAATGCAGTGTGGCTGTATAGTCCTGGAACTGTGCTGGGTAACAGCAAATCAAACACCAGTTGATCCCTCTTTGCACCGCATTAGTTGGCAATGTCACACCCAGAGCTGCAGAAGCCAGAAGAGCTCCTCCTCTTCCTGTCTCTTACACATGCATCTGTACGCATCATACATGCTTCTGTCCAGCACCAGAAGAAAGAAAAAAATTATCACAATCTCAAGCACCCAATTTGGTGCTCAGTGGCTGTAGTGTGATCATATACTTGCACTTTTCGTCTGATTTTGTTGGTGTTCTTAATCTTCCCAGAATTCTTGCTGAGAAGCAG